TCCCGCAACAGCCAATCGTGAGTCAACAACAAACTAGACCACAAACGAGATCAAAATGATTATGTGCCACATATTGCGCCGCCTCATTAACCGCCAATTGTTGTTGTTGTCCCCACCGACACATACTTTTCCTTCCAGCATTTTCCGTGCTTCCGTCCCCACTTTTCCTTCTTCTATCGCTTTAATCAATAATCAAACATAATGACGGTCATTGTCGTGCTGCACTGCACTGCACTGCATTGCCCCGTTAGCTGGCCACTGCTTGTTATCCAAGTTTTCGTTGGCGAAAATGATGCGCAAATGTAGCGTTACCTCAGCCACAACTTAATCCAAGAGATAGCTTAATTAACTACCAATACACATCTATGCACTGACCGTTGAACATTGTACAGCTCTGCTCGGAATTTCCTTTAACTTTAACGCAGTTCAGATGTTTTAAAAAAATTCACTTCAAATTCTTTTTTTTTTTTTTTTTGTATTTAATCGCTGCCGCGAAATTGGATGGTCGCACGACGATGAGTCCGCATTGACCAGGTACTTTAGTTCGATGATGGGGCTGTCGATATTTTCTTGACTATCGATGGTTGTTAATGAGACCATGCATGGTGTTGCATTGGTATATTCTTATAATTTAAGCAGCTTGCTTAGTTTCAATAATGGCAATGCTCTTGTGACCGGGTATCCAGTGCACAATAAATTTGCTCGTGAAGGAATTGTCCATGTTGAGGTGAATTTCGTCTGTTAAGTATGAATTTGATTAATTTCTCTTCTGAGCCTTCTTTAAGGCGCCTTGACTATCGCAGAGAATTACAGTTTTGCTGTGTCTTGTTATATTAGATATCTTAATACTGCGTTTGTAATACGGATGAGGAACTATTTCATGTGAACCATAGCTATTGTTTCTAGGGTAATCTAGGATACCTACACTATTTCCACCATCGATGGTGGCCACTATCGATGTTTTCCCAGCCCTGCGGCACTATCGATAAAGTATATCAAATTATACCTTCTCATTATAAAAATATACCGTAGTCTTAAATGATATTCCTCGATTTTGATGTTCTATTTGATTTTACAAGCTTGCAAAGACTTTTAACACTGAAACAATAATTTAATCCTTTTGAATAATCAATTTGACGCATTTTAAATAGTAATTGTTATTGGTTTGTACACCTTATGACCTTGTATTTTAAAAATTCAAATATTCAAATCAACCCTTCTGGAAGCAAGGAAGCTTTGTATACAGTATGTAAGTGTATGTAACATGTAGAGACACATGTATGTTAAGTGAAATAAAATTTTTCGAAAAACTGCGCGCGCAACTAAAGACAAGAGAAATTCTATTATTTTTTTGAAAGAGAAAGGGAACGGAAACGGGGAAGTTCTTTTATATTTACAACAAAAAGCATAATTGAAAAGAGATATATACTATAAAACATATATTGTCTATAGTCATAACTAATATATTTTATTTTATATTTGTCGGTATAGTTGTTCAAATTCCCTTCGCAAGGGAAAACAGCTTTCAAACTCCCGTAACAAAGCAAAATAGCTTTAATGGTGCGAAATTCGTATCAAAAATTCCAGTGGCGATTTCATCCCCCGTGATGGAAATTCTCCAGGGAAATCCTCTTCTGTGTCTAAACGGTCAGGGAAATCCTCTCCTGCCAGAAGATCTCGCAAGGTCTATTAGGGAACTTTTAAACAGGTGCGAAAAAGGTGGGAGCTTCCAAATGTTCGTCCATTTACACCTACTTGTCATAGCTTGCTTTTACATGCCAAAGAGAGGATTCGGTCAGCAAGATCCTCTCTTTCTCTGCTCATTTTTGCGTCTCAATTTGAGCACAGAAATCCCACAGAAATATACCAAAAATACTTTACGTTCACACTTACCCAAAACGTAAATCCCACAGAAATATACCAAAAATAATATACGTTCACACTTACCTAAAACGTAAATTGTTGTAAAAAAATTAACTACACCGGACTAATAGAGTGATAAAATCCAAAGTTTAAATTGAATAATTGCGGCCAATCAATTCAACTATACTACTAAATTTATAGTAACCAAGTTGAGCCACGCCCCTTCGTCTCGCTTGCCATCTAGGGAGCTCTGACTTTACCATCATTGCATTTCCATTGCAGTTAACAGCAGTGGCCCCCCACAAGACAAGTAAGTTGGGTTAATATAAGCCACAAAAGCAGCAGCAACAGCAAGAACAGCAGCAGGGCAAAGCCCAGTGGCAGAAGAAGGATAGAAAGGGCGTTGTTAATGCCGCATGCGATGCTTAATGGCTATAAACGGGTGCTAGCGCCCAGGTGGGTGGCAATGATGGTGGTGGCAGCGGTGGAGGCTGGTGCCCAGTGTGTGGCAGCGACCCCCCCAAGGGCATGCCGACCACAGCTGAGTCTGGGTGGCGTAAGTGTTGCTGCGACCTGTGCCATTCTAATCTGGCGAATTTCGCGATTCCAGTGTCTGTTCTGTTACTGCCGTCGCCATAGCCATAGCCATAGCCATAGCCAAAGGCGTGATTCACCATTGTCCAGTTCCAGTTGCCGAAGTATTGACGTAATTATGCAAGTGAGGCTGCGTATATTTAAATTAAAATTCCGCTCTCTCTTTCTCTCTCTCGCATGATTGCAGCCAACGCGACAAGAGATCGGCCAGCGACAAGATAAAATGCAGAACCAGCCCAGCCCACAGCTGCCATGCAAGGGCATTTTAAAGACTTCTCGCAGCTTCGACAAGTCGGGCGCCAGGTGAGTGACAAGCACACACACACACAAACAGATACCTATGACCTTTCACCTGCACAAATTCCTTTTGCAGTTTTCGCAAAAGTGCCAAGTTCGATGAGCTGAACGTGCTGCAGACGTTCCATCCGGCGGACAAGGATTATGGGCATATGAAAATCGATGAGCCAAAAACTCCATACTATGAGGAAACCAGAGACGAGCTGGACACAGAGCTTCTGGTGGAGAAGTAAGCAATGCCTGCCTGTCAGTCGTAGCTTATCTCATGTTTATTGAAATATTTTTGCAGACTTCGCATTGCGGCCAGCACACAACAGTCTTCCGAGAGCATTGAGGACGAGGGTTCTTCCGACGACGATCTTCCCATAAGCGAGGATGAGAGACGTAAACAAAAAAGCGAGCAAATTTCGCTAGAAATAATTATTTATTGTTTGTTTATTTTGCAGAACGGCGCCGTGAATTCGAGCGACGTCGCAAGGCCCATTATCGTGAATTTGAGGCGGTGAAGCTGGCCCGTAAGCTGATACAGGAGGAAGACGACGACGATGAGGATGATGAGAAGAATGCCGCCGGCACATCGGACAGCAGACCGTCGGGCTCCTCTTCCGCCTCCAGCCGCTATGCAAGCAGTTCGGCGAAAAAGTCCAGCCCGACAGCAACAAAATCCCCGTCTTCCAGCAGCAACATGGACCTGGAGCCATCGAACAACTAGGAGCCAATATCAGTTAATCAAACGCATCAATCACTAATGTTTACCTAGCCCAGGCGCCCATCATAAAACTCAACAACAACAAAAACATTTAAATGAAAAAGAAAAAGAACACGAAACGAAATTATATCAAGTGCTGTGGCCCCAGAGAGTGAGAAGTGAAGGAACGCAGTGAGAATGGGAGCAGAAGAAGGGCTAACCTTGGGCACTCGTGATTAATTGAATTTAGTTATTGCAAAAAAAAGCGTCGCGTAATGTTTTTCAAGTAAATCACACACCCACAGACACACACACACACATCGCAAATCAATGGAATTTCGCGCCACGTGATCGATGAACGATGATTAATAGAACGAGAGCAAAGCAAATATAATAATGATCGCTGCTGCTGCAGCTGCTGTCGTCAACGCGTTTTTTCAATTTGTAGCTCCATTTTGCATTTAGTTGTGCCCAAAAGAGAGAAGGAAGAGGAGAAGAAGAAGGAGGAGGATAAAAGTGCCACAAAGTAAGCCAACGCTCGCCGGGAACGAAACGAAACGTAACGGAACGAATGGGAGTGGCATACCAGTTGTTGTAACTAAAACGTTGACATTGATTTGGCCTTACGTTTAGTAACTTATTAATACATGTACTACTATTATGATTACGTTTAAGTTTTAGCCATCAAATGCGACAGTTTCAAATAAACAAAAGGAGGAACCCAAACCCAAACGAAAACAGGCTGTGGCATTGCACCCCACATTGGTTTTGTCTTCTCTTCGCGAGTATTCAGAAACTTGCCGTTTATTTTAGTATAGTTTTCATTTCATTTTTCTCATATTAGTTATACATCCATCGTTTAGTTGGGTGTTTGACATGGCTGGTCTTAGTAATTTGGTTAAGTCTGAGAGAGTTGAGTTTTGCCACGCGAGTCCGCCGCTCGAGTCCCCCTGCACCGCGACAAAGACCGCGCACAAAGCTCGGGCCGTGCACGTGCAGCAGGCAATGGCATCCTCATACTGTTTGCCGCTGGTGGATTGATCTCGGGTCGCCCTCAGCTGATGTTTCGTTGGTTGGGGGCAGAGCACTCTGCCAATCCAGTGCACGGGGCAAGCTGTATTGCCGGCCTTTGCGTGGTGGGGAGGTTCGAACATTTCGGCGGACCGACTGTGTGGCGTTCTGTTGGTTGTTTTTCTTTTGCTGATTGACGTATTAATGACTCACAGAACTGGCTGAATCTCGTAGCATAACTTTCTATGCGTTTTTGACGGTTATTTGACGGTTTTTCATATGCAGTTCGGACCACTTTGGGTCGTAATATATATAGAGCAAAAAGCATGCAAACTCAAACAATAAACATTGAGATGCCTCAACGAGCAACCACCAAGAGTGCCCAAGAACTTGGCCAAGAACTTCGCCTCGGGCGGCATCTCCTTTCGTTTTACAATATACAGTTAGTAGGGGGTTGTGGAGTCGCCTGCCCCAGGCCAAGAACGGGCCACCAGTGGGCTCTCCCTTGGTGTGAGTTGTCCGTGCGCATCCACGTTATATAAGAATAGAATAATATAATTAGTAATGGCCTTAGGGCGCTAGAACAAGGTTTTGCAATCTCATTTTGTTTTCCGGTTTCCGTTTTCCGTTTTCCGTCTTGGGTCGCATCGTTTCCGTTTCATTTGCTAGTTTTTTGTAACAATGTTTTGTAACAATTAATTATCCTTAGTAACTAATGCTATATATATTGTTTAGTATATAGTTTATCTGTGTCCAGCTGCTGCCATGCTATATGCACATGCTCCAAAATATGTGCATATAGTATGGCTACGAGCTGCATCTTTCGTTATCCACTGCCCAGTGGTTGAGGTTGCTGCTTCCCGTACACAATGGGTCCAATCCGTTCTAGCCGGCATGGATCCATTGTCTGGCACAGCGCGCTCACCTCTGTGGTATTGTATTTCGTTTCGTTACATAAGTTATATATGCGTATATATGGCGTCGTTAGTGTTTCCTTTAGGATTAGTATAACAATTGTTTATATGTCCTACAGATAGTTTGGCTCTTGCCCTTCTGTTCGTTAGTTTGTTCTCGTTTTAGTAGCATCGTTATCATTATTATTATTATATATTATGAAGTGGGTTCCATTGAATTATGTGTGCTTGCAGCTGGCTGATCCTAGTCCTTAGGCGAACATGTGCTGTGTGCCGGGCGGCACCTTGTAGCTGGGATAGGCGTTGTTCAGCTGATGCTTGGCAAAGAAGGATGTGTAGTCCTGACGAAAGTTGTTCTAGTAAAATTTGAATGTTTTGGGGGGGTTTGGGGATTTAGTAGGGTTGAATGGGTTGCCAGCTCTTACCCTATTTACTTTTCTGGGACGGCAGACGGGGCCCAAGGCCAACTGGCGACGCTCCTCGTTCTCGCGTGCAGCCGCTTCCTTGTACTCTGGTGGTGGCCATTTCAAATCTCCGCGCAACTTGCTGCCTCCTAACAAGATATCAAATCGAAGTATTAAGCTTAGTTGTGCTTGCTTTTACGTTCAGTTCTTACCCTGATAGCTGACGGCGGCTGGCTGCGAAGTGTAGACTGGCGCAGACTGCTGCGACACAGGCGCTTCCTTTCTCAGGGTTATAATCCCGGGACTGGCGCCACGATAGCCCGCATCCTGGCCAGCATAGGCAATGGGCACTTGGTGCTGCTGCTGCTGCTGCTGCTGATCTGTCTGATCCTGCGAGTACGGCAGTTGATGCTGCTGGGGCTGCGAATAAGAATTGTACTGCGGTTGAGCATAGGTCGAGCCACCATTTTGCTGTGGATAGTAGGATGGTTGCTGCTGCTGCTGCTGCTGCTGCTGCTGTGGTGCTGCCTGTTGGTAGGGCGACGTCTGATAGGGAGCCTGAGCCTGAGACAGAGGCTGTGCCTGGTATTGCTGCTGTTGCCACTGTGGTGCAGGCTGCTGCTGTTGTTGCCACTGTGGAGCCACAGACTGCTGTGGTGCAGCTTGCTGCTGTTGCTGGTTACCATATTGTGGCTGCTGTTTGTTCAATGGTGCAGTTGGTGGTGCGTTGGTGGTGCGTTGGTGCATTTGGGTTTCAATCACGGGTGTTATGGATGTTGTAGATGGGTTTTTGGTTGATTTTTGGTTGTGGGGAGGTGCACAGTCATTGTGGAAAGAGAGAGAAATATACATGTACGAAATACAGATAGAGAGAGAGAGAGACACATAAACCATACATAAAAGTTATAGGAAGAATGTTAATATCTGGATACGGTTTAGTGGTCAAGCGGTAGGGCAGGGGCGGGGGATTAGGTATTAGACGTTTCAATTATCTTTGTGCGCAGTTCTACAGCTGAAAGTCGCAGAAAGAAAAAGAGAGAGAGAGAGAGAGAAGCAGAAAAGCAGAGTAGTAAGCGTTTTGTTAACTAGTTTTACGGCTGCTACGGACAGCGTTTTACGGGTGCAACTACAGAGCATGCAAGAGCATAAACAAGGAAAGGAAATAACATTGGATGTGCAGTTTATAGAGTCAAAAGTGTCGACGATAGAAAGCTGCAAAGTGAATTTACTAACAAGTTGTCGTGTTCACCACAGTGCACTCTCTTACGCTTCTCAGCGGGGGAGTGGGGAGTTATTTGGTCCTCACCACAGCGGGCAACATCACCTTGCAAGTAAATTCACCTGGCGATAGATGGGGGAGGGGGAGGGTAGAGAGAGAGAGAGAGACATAGGCAGCAAAGAGAGTAGAGTTCTAGAGCTTCTAAGTACGCATTTTGGCCAGTCCGCTTTCATCATTCATTTATCGCTTCCTTTTGTTGTACCTGCTGTAGATAGGCTGGTCGCTGCTGCTGCTGGGGAGCAAATCCCTGGTAGGGCGCTCCTCCCGCCGGCGTGTAGTCATGATGCGACTTGGGCAATGGCGCACGTATGGGCTTCCAGCCACCCCCCGCATTGTCCGCGGCCAACTGAGGCTCCTGCTGCTGATAGTTCGACTGATAGTTGGGATACGCATCGGTCGAGACTGGCGCAGGCTCCCTTGAGGGTTGCCTATTGAACTGCGCTTGAGTGTACTGCACGGGCTGTTGCTGTTGCTGCTGTTCGTGGGGAGTATAGCTGGGTTCTGAACCCTGAGCAGCGTATGGGTACTGCTGCTGCTGCTGCTGCTGTGGCGCCTGCACCTGTGGTTGAGTGTATTGTGGCTGAGGTGTTGGCGTAAAACGTGCCTGCGGTGTGGGCGTAGATCGTTGCTGTCTTGCTGGAGTGGATCGTGGCTGGACGTTATTATAAATGGGACCCTGAAAGTTAGTTCAGTGCGTGGTTAGGTATGTGCTGGGAGGTGTTTATGTTTCTGGGTGTTTCTTGTGTGCTTCTGTGGGCTATGTACATCAGTGTAGACGCAGACCATTTACAGTTGACAAATATATTTACACAACACTTGACTAATCATATATTTACAGTCCATAACTTAAATAAGTAAGTTTATTTGCTAATTACCTGAGCTGCCTGAACAGCGCTTGGCTGTGGCGCAGCTGCGGCGGCCGCTGGCTGCGCGTAGTAACCGCCAGCGCCGGGCGCGGGGCTCTGGCTTTGCGGCTGCGGAGTGAACTCACGAACAATGCGCTCCTCCGAGGCGGGTGGCCAGGCCACGCGCTTGTAGCCTATCGAAAATGAAGAAGAAAATGTTAGAAGGGTTTCTTCTGCAACAGCTGAACGTAAAACTGTAAAACATTCAACAAAATGCGGCCAAACGTGGGCGTTTTGCTTGGCCTTGGCGGTGCATTGCAAGACAAACAGTTTGAAAATGATTTAAGCCAATTAAAATTATACAATATACAATGTGCAATACGAAAATTCGCACAAGCGGCGAAGCCTCGTCCCGTCCCGTCCCGTCCCATCCCATTCCGTTCCGTACCCACACAGCTAGCCCCACAGATGCCGCTGCTGCTGCGGCTGCTGCGGCTGTCATTGTGTCTAAATTTAGACGATGAAAACGAGTCGAAAGCAAGGAATGCGACATTACTCATAAGGTGCTGATGTTGCGACCACACCACACCATGCAACATGTTGCCCAGTCACATGATTTAACTAGAGAGAGAGAGTGTGTTGTTTGTATTTACCCTCCAGATTCTTGTAGTTTTGGTTTCTAATCTTCCACTGGGCACCCATCGTTACTGTCTGCCTGGGGCTATATAGTATCTGACGAATCGGTTCGAAAGCTCTCTCTCCTTGCTATTTTTTTTTGCGTAAGATATCAAAAATAACAAATATATCTACGGTTCTCTGCTGCTATATTTTTGTAGCTTTTTTTGCTGCTATTTTTTGACTTGAACACACAAAAAGTACGAGTGCGAGTGAGAGAGGGCGATCGAACGACCGTTATATAACCCCCGCAAAACACACACAAAGATATAATCAATCGGGTTCGATTTTGCCACAGCAACAATTATTTCCTTTCTTTACTGCTTGCTTGAATTATTTTTTGTTCGCTGATCGATTGGGCGCGCGTTTCGTTTTGGGATCGTTTCTTTTGTCGGATCGATTTCGTTGAAAATTGCAGAATTAAACACAAAGAACACCGCGAAAATTGTATTTGGATGCTGCTCGAATTTAATTTTCTATTTTCTATTTGGATATTTGTTGGCTATTTGCTAATTCGTTGATCGTTCGCGCTGGCCGCTGATCGTTCGCGATATGTTTGCCTTCGATGTATGCTACTAAGTGAGGAGCCACAAGCCAGTGGGGCAGACAGAGCAAATTATTGTTGGCCAAAAATCGAGAGATACGAATCGAAATGCTTAAGATACGGATCAACGAGAGAGAGAGCGCGAGATTTGCCGAGTGGGAGGCGCAAAGTGTGGGCAGAGTGGGGGTAAAAGTGTGCGAAAAGTGGTATAAAAGTGGCGGCTGCTAATGATGCCCCTTGCTGCTGTATGCTGCTTGCCCTGCTTGCTCCTGCTCCCTGCTTGCTCCTGCTTGCTCTGCTTGCTCTTTCTCTGCACTGCTGGCCCACTTTTTGGCATTGTTTACACACCTTCGATTCTTGTGATTTGTGGGCGCACCTTGAAACGTTTGCTCACGGCAGTCGAATTTCAAGGTGCTTCGTCTGGCTATATTCTATCTCCGCATATCTGTGTGTGGCTACGCCTACGTGTACATCTATTTATTTTGTATATCTTTCGGATGCCTGGCATATTTCTGTGCCATTTGGCTCTCTGCGCCGAGCAATGCCCGATCCAACTACTTAACTATCCATCCGCCTAGCCACAGAGCTGTGGCTGCTTTGCTGCTTTGCTGCTTTGGCTTGGCTAAAATTAAACGTCTGTCAACCGAACAAATCTCTTTTTAAACGTATTCACACAGGTGTACGACACAAGTTGGCTCATTAAAATTGTTAGCAAACTTGTAACTCATCTGTCTGCCCCCTGCCCATGCACCACCTGCCCCCCAGCACAATTATTTTGGCATAATGCTGCACCGATCTGTGGCTCTGCTCTGCTCGTTAGCAGCGTTCTATGGCTCATAGCGCTCATCTATAGCCACTTAGTGGCTGGGTTTTCGATCGCTGCCAAGATTTAGCTCTCTTTTCCTCAGAGGAATCCTTAGAGTTGACTCTGCAAAGACTGCCCTGCTGCAATTTGAATTCTGAGAAAGACTTCCCCTTAGACTTCTGTGAGTCTTCAGCTGAGAGCCCCGAAAAATGTCGCCAAAGATTCGAGCAACAACTGAATCATTTGGCCTTTAGTCAGAGACAAGGAAGACACAAAAACTGGCAACAGACACGGGGAAAACAGCAGTGAAGGGAGCCAGGGATGGGGGTTCCAGCCACGCACCTTCAATGCCCAAATAGGGTCTTGGCGAGACATTGTCAAAGCAGCGATTCACACTGGAGTCCCGCTGCGAAGGTGCGAGGAGCGAGGAGGAGGCGCACATTGCCTGCTGCAGCGGCTCCGTGGCAGTGCGCACGAGCAGCCCAATGTTGTGGCCCTCCAGCTGGGGGACATGCGAGAACGCTGCAGGAGCCGCGGGCATCCTCAGCACCGGATTGAGTCCAAAGGGCGAGCTGGCGCGCTCGGGCGCCTCGATCAGGGGCGCGGGATACTTGCGTGAGGAGAGCGGACTGGGCGAGCGACTGCGCTGCCAGCTGATCTCCGCTGCGGGTAGATTCAAGCGCAACGGAGGTGCCGGCGGTGGCGAGTCTGCTGTCCGCGTGGTCACAATCTCCACAAAGCTTCGCTGCCGCTGCAGCTTCTCCGGCGGCTTGGTGGCCTCCGCACTCTGCGTGTCCTCCCAGGAGATCTGGCGGGAGATGTACGGACTGCGTATCTCGTACGTGGCCTTGTAGTTCTCCATGGGCTCGTTGTGCAGATTGGCGATGCGCCACTGGTCCGCCTTGGTCAGCTTTGCCCAGTTGTTGGGCGAGTAGCGCAGCTCATGGCAAACGGCACAGCAGATGTTGGGCTCGCTGCTGGCATGGGCGCAGGGTTCCTCGTCCTTTTGCTGATGCTCCTCTTCTGCCGCTTCCTTGTGGCGCTGAGTCGCAGTCTCTGTCTCTGTCTCTACCTCTGCCTCTGGCTGCTGTTTGCCCGTTGCCAGCTGCTCGTAGTTGGCTATGACATCGGACACGTGTCGATACTCCACATCCTCCGTTGCAGCTGCTGGCTGGAGCTTGTGCTCCAAGCGCAAAAGTCTCTCCAGTCCCCCCTGTTGATCCTCCGCGGCCAGTTCCTCTGGTGGCTGCTCCAGCGCCAGCGCAATTCTGTGCAAGTCCTCCAGCGCTCGCTCCACAATGGGCACATTCTCGGTCAGCTCCTCGTTGGCCTCCACCTCCGCAATGGACTCCTCCTTGGGTCGGGCCGAGGCGCGGCAGTAAATCTGCCGGAGTATGGCCTGCAGCGGACTCTCCACGGCCAAAATGGGCGACTGGCGAGCGGCGAACATGTCCCACAGGCAGTCCTGGGAGGCTGCAGGCGCAGCAGCAGGCGCAGCAGGAGGAGGTGTGGCCTCGTCTGGCGCTGTCTGCACACTCCTTTGCAGCGCCAACTTGGCATTCTCCATGTACGTGTCGATCTGCCGCAGATGCTCCGCTATCGACTGCTGTATGTGCGCGTACTTGGCCTCCAGCTGGGAGATCTCCACGTGCGCCTCATGCTGCTGCTCCGCCGCGGACTCCGCGCCGTAGATGCCACCCACGCGGCGCGCTTGCTTGGCTCTGGCCTGCGATTCCTCGCCCGACTTGGGCCGCAGCTTGGCGGGCATGGCCATGGGCGGTGCTGGTGGTGGTGGAGGAGGTGGCGGCGGCGGCGGCGGCGGTGGTGCCTGTCGCTGCAGCAGCTTGATGCCACTGGTGGCGCTCACATAGGTGGGTGCCTGCTGCTGCTGCATCTCCTGACTCTGCTGGCTCTGCTGGCTGTCCTGCTGCAGGTAGCTGCAGGCGTCCTCGTACATCTGCTGGGCACTCGGCTGTGCCTCAACGCGAACTGGTATGATGCGAGTGCCAGCGGTGGGCTGCTGCCTGGCCAGTGCCAGAGCCAACTGCTGCTGCCGCTTGACTGCCAGGCTGTCAATTACCGCCACATTGGCGGCAGCTGCCGCTGCCGCTGCTTTGGCTTTGGGTATCGGGGGCAGTGGCACGGCCTCCAAGTCCAACTCTTGGCTGCTGGCAGCGGCCTTGGGCCTGTCCTCCTCTTCGCTGTCGGCCTCATTGTCATACGAAATCCTCACCTCGGTGGCCAGCTTCACGCATCGCCGCTGCACCTTCGGCACCTTGTTGCTGGCGCGTGGCTTGGGCGGTGGCAGCTCTGGCGCTGCTCCAGCGGCGGACACTGTCCGCTTACGGCAGCGTCCGCGTTCCAGCGAGTACGCCTGCCGCTTGGCCCTCGGCCTGTAGGGCGTTATCGTCAGCGCTGTGGGCGTGGTGGGTCGCTTGTGGGCCAACTGCTCGTAGTACTCGCAGCGGGGCGCCACCAGGCCCAGGTCCACGTCCGCTGCTTTGGTCTCCGGCGCGGAGAAGCCTTTGGCCACGGGTGTCTGATGGAAGAGCTGCGCCGGCTGCAGCTCAGAGCTGCGCAGTGGAGTGCTGGGCCGCTCCTTGGAGCCCTCGCGCTGTCGCTGCTCGCGCACCTGCTTGGCCGTGGGCTCGATGATCCTCGTTGGACTCTGGAACTTCTCGCGCAGCGCCTCAATGCTGTGCGAGGCGCACACGGGCATGTGACTGAGATCCGGACTGCTGGCGGTTATGGCCACCGCTTCGGCCTCCGTGGGCGGCCAGCTGTGGTCCCGCTTGAGCATGTGCCGCTTGCTGGCCAGCCGATTGATCTTGAGCACCGTGTCCCTGTCGATGGTGATGTCCTGCTGGTGGCTGAGATAGTGCGTCTTGATTTGGTCCAGCAGCTGCTGGTGCAGCGTATGGTGCAGGCCATCCGCATCGCCGCGCTGGCGCGTCCTACTCTGTCTCTCTTGGGGATAAAAGTCTTTGGGTTTGCCTCAATCAATTCAAGTTGTGACAGAGTCTGGGACAGGGCACTGTGCGTGGGCGTGGCTGTGTTTTTGTTGAATGTTTTACACTGTTTTACACATAGTTTCTGTTGTGTGTGTGTGAACACAAGACACATACAGACAGAGACACAAAACTAAAAGGCTACAAAATGTTCTTTTCTTACCGCATTTGGCTTGCTGCTCCTCCTCTTCGACGGCTCTCAGAACTGCCGAGTTGGCCAGGTTCAGTGGCTTGCTGATTTGATCGTCAATTTCAATCCTAAAAATAGTTTTCAAACACAAAATTGTTAGCAAACATAAGAAATAAACGGCAGCAATTCGAATTTGAATTTGAATTTACACTGCTTTAACGTTTACCACTGCTTAACAGTGCGGAATCCACTGCCTTGCCGATGCAAAAGCAGTTTACAGAACTCTGCTGCTTGAACTGCTTGTAGGCACTGCTAAAACTGTGCAGCGAATAAAAATGTATGGGTTCAAATTCCAGCAATGTTTTATTTTTGCATAGAATTTTGATTTTAAATATTTCTTTGTGTTAAATAAAATATGTTGACGTAGCTGTGGTTTGTTTTTAGCTTTTGGTGTGTAGCTAAATAGCTGTTAGAACTATTTAAACTGAGGTTTTGAGGCTGACTGAAGCTGACAGCCTCTAGCCCTGCCACTAGCTGCCCTACTACCTTTTGGATTCTTGTACCTATTAATAGGGATATGCTGTCTTATGTTTCCACTGGTTCCTGTGGGCATAAATTAGTCCCAGGCCCAGTCCCAGTCCCAGTCCCAGTCCTTGCAGCACTCTACTTGTCACATCAACACCACATCCTTCTGCCGGATTCTGCCTGAGCCTGGCATTGAAATTTGCGTGCGCAGTTCGACCCACGCTGACCCCAAAAAGGGAGCAGATGCTAATCGGCACTGACAAGCGCCGCGCTGCGCCATCGGATATAAAAGCGCCTGGCAGCGTCTGCCAATGCATCCACAGCCCAAAGAGCATCTTGGCAGGCAGCAACTTGTCTTCAGCGCACACCAAAGAGCCACTCCAGACACTCCCGAAACGATGGCCAACTCCAGCAAATTGCAAACGCTAGTCTCGGTCCTGCTGCTGCTGCTCGTCTCGCTCTGCAGCTGGAGCCCAGCAAACGCGGTGCCCAGCAAACGATCCAGCAGGCTGTGCGGCGACAAGCTGTCCGAGGCCCTGGACATGATGTGCCCCAATGGGTTCAATGCACGCATTCCCCACAAGCGTGGCTTACGTGAGTATTTCGGCTTTTCCGTTTGTACGCTGTTCCGATTTTGGTTTCCATTCCCTTTCGCAGTGGACCTGTTCGATTACGTGGACCACATGGCTGAGCCCGGACTGGATGATGATGATGCGGCGGCGTCTGTGGGTGCGCTCCTGCCCGAGGGCGTTCGCCTGCCCTGGCGGCACAGCTCCCTAATGACCACCAGGCGCCAAATGCGCGGCATAGTGAACGAGTGCTGTGCCAAGCCGTGCAACTACAACGAGATTCAGGCCTACTGCAAGTGAAGGCGCCCCTGAGCAGCGATACAACCACCCCCCCGACCCAGCCCCACCCAAAACTAGAAGCTAAACAAATTGTTACGATATTTGATATACGTGTAGATAGAGGAGCGACTCGAATGAATATATTATGATGCTCTCAAGAGCTGTTGCAAGAAAAAGGAACTTTAAATTGGATTGCCAATGCCCGAGAGCGAAAAATGGGGGGACCTTAAAGCGGGGGCGGACTATTTGTATCTTAAAGTTTGAGGTCCAAGGTGGCTTTTTGTGTGTGTGTTTATCGGGGAAATATTTGTGCAGATAAGCAATCTGATAAGAAATCTGCGCCAGAATTGCTCGCAAATCTCCGATTTGGAGCAGATTCTCTTTACTTGATTTTCCGCACAAATTTAATTAGTTGATTGGCGCCCAGACTGCGCCATGAATAGAAATTAATTTCGTTTGAGATGCTGCACAAATATTTGCAGACAAATAATCAACGAGTAGAGTACTTCGTTGAGTGCGAGATTTATGGCCAAATGGGAGATGAGTTTCAGCTGATAAATACTGTTGGCACTTTTTTCGGGACAAAGGATTAATTGAGTGGCGCAGAGTGAATCAGCGGGCGGGCAGCCAGTCGTCAGCGAGATGCATCACAACTTTTGGCTAGACGCCTGCCGCTTGTTTGTTGACATTGTTGCTGTTGCTGTTGTTGTTGTTGTTGCACTTGTGGCAGTGGCCAGTGTCCAATTTGGTTCGTGTGACTCATTCGACTTGCTGACGTCTTGCTTTAGTCAGTTCCCCCCCCCCACCCTGTGCGCCCGTGTACTGCTTGTACTGCTTTCACTGCTTGTGTTGCCTATAGTACTGCTTGTGCTCCCTTCTGTACTGCTTGTTCTTAGTGTGTGTGTGTGTTTTTGTGTTGCGGGTTATATAAAAGCGTATCTTTAAGATTCACGTACATTTTGAATGGCAGCTGAATGCAGGTTGATGCAGCCACAGACCCTGGCTCAGCTGTCGCTTGGCAAAAGTTTACACTAAATGGGGGAAACACCTCACACGACGCACACACGGGCACACACACGAGCCGCACACGCACACGCGAATGCGTTTGAAAGTTTTTGGTTTTGGTTTTGGTTTTTTTTTTGGTAATTAAATTGCCAGCTACTGTTGCCTGTGCTGTTGCTGTTGCACACGTTTTGTCGCACGCATAGTCCCCGTATAACTGAAAGCCACTTAAAGTTTTTGCTCACCCGAGCAGATCTCAGCGCTGAAATTGGGTGGGGGGCGCCAGGCCGGTTTATTTGAACAACAATTGCAAACAACAATGACAGAGATGAAGGTGTTGTTGTTGTTGTTGTTGTTGTTGCAGTAGCAGCGGCACTCACAAATACTTGCGCACTTTCAGCTATAAAGCAGTGGAAGTCGCAGTCGCAGTCGCAGTCGCTGCTGCTGTCGCTGTCGCTGTAGCTGTCTCGGTCGCTGCTTATAAAGCTTTTTGGTAATTACAATCAAACGTCAAAGCATTTAATTGTGGAGGTTGTCTTTGTGTCGCCTCTCTTTATCTGAGAGCGGGAGAGACGCCAACAACAAATTGGCGTAGCCTGTAGCTGTCGCTGCTTTTGTCGCTATCGCTGTCGCCGCCGCCGCCACCGCCGCCGCCGCGCTGCAATGAGCAGCCGTCGCACACCCATATTGCTGTGTTTTTGTGCACCTGTTCTTGGGGGGCAGCCAGCATATAACAGCTACAAAGATATACAATCCACCCAAAGTCGCAACCCACTGCCCATCCCCCTACCATTTTATGGGCACTTTTCATCAGCCTTTGGCACCCACTCTGCCCTTTCATCTTGTCTATAAAATTATGCATTTAAATGTTTAATAATCATTTCATTTCGCCCAAAAGCCCAGTACTCACCCCTCGCCGCCGAAGGCCTTCAGTTCGCGATTCAACGTGTCCTTGACATTCTCCTGGGAGTACAGGCCCATGGGGGAGTTGAACTGCTTGTGCACCAGCTTCCTTTGTAGCGCGGCCATTTTGATGTCTCTTTCTGCTCTGCTTTTTCGCTGTGTGTTTTTTAATCAACTGCTTGTTCGCTGCTGCTGCTGCTGCTTCTGCTGCTTGCTTCTGCTTGCTGTTTGACTTTGGCTTTGGCTTTGCTCTCTTTATCCGTTCTCTTCTGTGGCTGTTTGGGTTTCTTCAAAAAGTTTTTCGAAAAATATTGTTGATAAAAAATATTTTTTAAAATTTCCTGCCCCAAACTCTTTAGCAAGAACTTGGATCCGCTTATCGTTTCAAGAGTGGTTTACAAGTTGTTGCTCTTTTTGCTGGTGTTCTCTCTGGTTGCTGCTCTTGTTGTTGGAAAACAGAATTCCAAACACTTTTCAGTTTTCCCCCACTTCAGTTTCAGTTGCTGTTGGACTTAATGTTAATCGTTAATTGTCGGTCGTTGTTCGTTCTGTAATTGAAAATGCAAAAACAAAAAACAAAAGGGAAACTGAATGAGTGCGGGACGGGCATTAAGAAGGGAAATGGAAATGATGTAAACAGGAATTTAATTTGTACAAAAGTTGATGGAAGGAATACAAGTTTAATCGGGGCTTGTCTTTGGGTGGGACAGAGGAGCAGCAGCTGCCCACCATCCTCATTCACTTCAGCACTTAATAGTTTAATATTTAAGTCAATCTTAAAGCCACAACATGACATTTGCCAAGCTTGAACTTAATTCTCATTCAACATTGAAAGCACCTGGCTATAAATTATATTTTCGTATTTAAATTTGATGTACTTATGGACCGCAAGCGTGTTGCAGTTGCAAATAAATCAATTTAATTAAGAGCAATGTGTGTGCAGGCACAAAACAAAACGCTTCTTTTATTCGCCATAATGTGTGTATTAAAATCTCTTCATTTGGACACGGATATGTGTGCATATGTACAGTGTACATACATGTATGTACTTATGTATACATTGTCACATAATCACGCACTGCTTTAATTTTGCACTGCTTTTTTTTGTCTGGTGGCATATGTAAACATTGTTGACAGGCAGCAAATATGTGTGTTGATTGATTGATTGATTAATGATGGAAAATGGCAAATGGTCAAGAAAACTCGTTTGAATTTTGCCACACAAATGCGAACGAACAATCTGCTGCATATATTTCCAGAAATTCCACTTCAATGTCAACCCCACACACGCTGAGGCGATCAAAAGGAGGCCAAATGCATGTACATAAAATGTACGCAAATATGTATACGACCCTGAGCACTGGAAGCACTTTGATTCTATTCCGATTTGACACACACAAATTCTAAAAAATAAAAGTAGATTAATTTTGTGCAATTTGCTGCGACTCACTCACTTCTGTCACATTGAGAAATGTATCTTAAACTAATTTGAGAGCAGGAAAAAAACACAAAAAGCAACTACAACTTGTATATGTACAATGTTATATGGCTTGTTTTTGGCTGTGCCTAAAAATAGAGCCCAAGACAGCGGGCAACAAAATATTGAAATGTGCTCGATTTTGCTCATACTCATATTTTCCACGAACCCACTCAAAAGCGAGTCCGAGTCCGAGTCCGAGTCGGATGGGTTGGGTTGGGAATGGGATGGGATGGGATGGTATCTATCTGGCTCTCAGTCGCTATATCTTTCGCCCCCTCTCTCTCTCACTCTCTCTCTCTATCGTTTGGCTGTCTGCTATTTGGCGCTATTTTGAAATTCCCGCCTTGTGTGTCACCTCAAATAAAATTAGCAGCTGTGAGGAATGGGCAAAAGATATTATTGTTCAGATTTGCGTCATTTCCACTGATGTATGAGAATTATAATCAGCGAAGGAATATCATCATTAGCGTAGAACAGAGACAGAGACAGAGACAGAGACAGAGAGAGAGAGAGAGAGAGAGGGAGAGGTAAGTGCAGGCTCGTTGAATGGAAAATGCAATAAAAAGACACTTGAAATAATCGTAATGAAGCATTTTTGTGTGTTTGTTCGCATTTTATGCGATTTAATTGAGCTGCTCTTGCTTTTGGCTGGTTGCATGCCACATTGCGGCAGCTGCCACACAGCTGCTGCTGCTGCTGCTGCTGCTGCTGCTGCTGTGGCAATCGGGGCACGGCATCCGGAAACAGCAGCCAAGAATCACACAAATTAATCAACATTTAATAAAATATTATGCAAATTAAGGCACAAAAGGCAGGCAGGCAGGCAAGAGCTTGCCACTTGATGTCCCAATTAAAGTTTAACACAACCCGCCCACACACACATACACACACACACACACACACACACACACAGCACACACACATGGAGAGCCGAACAGGTGCGTGCTGCAGTCTGTGTACTTAGCACAGGAATTGTAAGAGAATTTGCATAAAAAATGCTCACTAAAATAATGTTTCAACAAAAAAAAGCGAAACTAAAAACGAGAAAAGTTAAACGTGAGTATTGTGTGGGAGAGAGAGAGAGCAAGGAAACAAAGCTGTCTATGTGTGTGTGTGTGTGTGTGTGTGGGAGGTGGTGCCATAGAAACAATATTCTTCCACCTTTTGCCATATGCCAGCGTCAACGTCAACGCCAACGCCAACCCACTCAAGTGTGGCGCCCCCGTTGCCATACTCTTTTCGGGTCGAGCCATCTTCAGGACAATATGCGATGAGCTGCTCTAATTGAAATATTTCATACTAGATTAAAGTTGCTCTGACTCAATTAGTTTCATTCTGGAAGCTGCAGTTCCACAGAAGAAGCAGTGCAGCACATGCCAAAAGAAGCAGTTCAGCGAACTAACAGAAGCAGTTCAAGCAGAGATCTTTCTGTGATTTCTTTGCTCTTGTGCATGTTTTGCCCTGGATTTAGAGCTATATTTGTAGCAATTGCACAACAAAATATGTTAGATATTCCAAATTGAAGACCTAAGATTCCTGCACATTTTATAAAGTTCCAATTGCATTTTTGGTAGCTCTTTTGCGCCCTATTAACGATCTGTTGGTTTATTTATAAAAAACTTTTCGAAATACCTTTCAAATGCTCGCCGAAATTCCTTGCCTATTTTATGGCTGCTTTTGTGGCAAACCTTGACTAAAGTTTTGCCTTAAAAAACCAACACCGAAAAACAGGGGCGGCCACGCTTTTATTTAAATTATCATAAAATTCTGTTTATTTCGGCTGTGAATTTATGTAGTTAGGGTATGAGCTATGGGGACTATCGCGTTCTCCTAATTAACATCTCCCTGCTGTGAGTTCGTTTTGGCAGCAGCAGCAGCAGCAGCAGCATCGACATCATTATCAGCGCTCGACTCCGACTACTCCATGGGGTGAGTGTGTGTGTGTGTGTGTGTGTGTGTGTGTGTGTGCCGTGGGTTCTGGGCGGTTGCTATCTAAACTATAATCATGGCTATACGTATATGAGCCTGTGTCTGGGTTTATCTGTCTGTGTGTGTGCATTGAAATCAGGTGCAAATATTGTTAGATTTGGCAAATCTGTGTGTCGACGACGCATCTGCGTATCCCAAAATCCCCAAAAACTGACTAAAAGCATGTGGATGGTGGGTTGGGGTGTGGTGTGGTGTGGTGTGGTGGCTTTCACGCTTGCCTTGATGTTTGCCTGGTTTCCGACTGGTTCTTGCTGATTTAATTATTAACGGACAGCATTGTGCTCCTGATTTTGTTTTAGTTGGCTCGTTTAAATATTTCATTTTGCTTCTAGCTGGCTCCTCATCTCTCTCTCTCTTGGGAGCTACATGCGGGGGGTACACTAAAGTACACTAATATTCAACAAATAAACACAGGCACAAGCAGGCGGCACAAGTGTGTTCGAGGAAAACACTTATTTATTTGTTTTACGGCGAATGAGTGGGGTGAGTGGTATTGTGGGTGTGTACTTACCGTCTGTTACAATTTGGCACTGCTTAATCCAAAAATAACGCCAGAAAATTGCCAAAGTTCGCTCCAAGTGGCTTCGACCGCAGCAGCCAGCGGTGGCGCTCATTCGACCCCATCCGATTCGACCCGCCCTCGCGTTGCAGTTTTGCACTTTCACCGCCAAATTGCATTCAACACTCTTTTTCCCTCAAGAGTGGCTGTCGGTTCGTGTCTGTCCGCGTGCGAGAGCGTTATTGGGTGGCTAGATGGGAGATGGGAGATGAGTGTGGGTGTGAGTGTGGGTGTCTGTGGGAGCGCGTGCCC